ATCTATATATATATATAATTTTCAAAAATATAAGTTTAATTCATAATAAAAATGTTAACGGACATCTTTGCAATATTTTTAAATATATTTTGAAGATGTAACATTTTATATATGTGAAATCCAAATATGAACTTGTACGTCATATATGTAAATTGCATATATTTCTAAGTGGCAGATTTCTATATGGGTTGTGCTCTAATATCTAACAAGTTATCATCCAATCAAGCTAACCCGGTCATATTATAATAAACAAACGTATCAAATTTAACAAACAATTTTTAAAATGCATTTATCTATGCTAAATGACTTGAAAAGAATACGGTTTATTTTTGTGATTGCTTAGATATAAAAAAAAAAATCATTTAAATTTGTATTTTGTTTTTGGTGTACATTACAGGACTGTATTAGAACAACAGCTCACTTTACCTTCTGTTTTTGGCATTCGAACAGTATTTACACTAATCTGTTTTTAGTGTATTAATATTTGATTGTTTTTCTCCCACAGAGTGCACTTTCATCATCTTGGATAAACAGAAATGGGCAGATGCGAGTGTCCCGGAGCAGGAGTGCATGGTGGGAGATGTTAACATTTTCCTGACGGACCCCAGCGATCCTTCCCTGGCTGAACTGGAGATTATGATTGCAGGTTATAGAGTTTGCTTTGGATTTTAGTTCATGTATATTAACTGGAGTCTGTCAGTAACGGTTATTAATTGCTTTAGTGCCCTGCTACAGAGGAAAGGGAATTGGCAAAGAAGTAACACGCATGATGATGTGCTATGGTAGGATGAGGCTAATTATTAAAGATTTCTTCATTTTCTCTTTTGTTATTATTATTATTGTTATACTGCGTAGATGTACAGTGTATTTTGTGATTTTCCTTAACAGGCATCCATAAACTTGGAATTCGGAAATTTGAAGTTAAGATTGGTTTGGATAACAAAATCAGCATCGCCATGTTTAAGAAATTCCACTTCAAAGAGGTGAGAATGAATCGATTGCATTGTAAAACTTTCCTTTGATAAAAACAAGCTTGTAAAAGTACATGCATTAAACATTTCAGAGAATTTTCAAGCACTGAAATTTTTTTTACATAGATAGATAAATGATAATATTTTTTAAAGTATTTTAAGCTCATTTAAGGAGCATTTAAAATGGTTAAAATAGTAATATTGCAAAATATTATAATGTACTTTTCTTTTTTAGTATAATTTAGATTTTATTTTATTATATATATATATATATATATATATATATATATATATATATATATATATATATATTTTATTTTATTTTTTTGCTATGATGGTTTTTCTAAGATGAATTTATAGCAGGCATTAAACCATTGTTAAAAAAGCTTTTGCTAATATTTTATATAGTAATATTGCATAGTGTAATGTACAATTTATTATTTTATTAAATTTTATTTTTATTTTATATTATTAGATTATTTAAATGTTTTTTTTTTTGCTATGATGGCAAAGATGAATATACAGCAGACATTAAAACATTTTTGACTTAGTCATGCATTTTTCATTATAAGTTGCATTATAAATGCCATTTCTGATATTATAAATAAGTGCAATATTATTTATAGCGTAAAATGGTGTAGTATATACATGTTTCCCAGAGATGGGTTGCAGCTGGAAGGGCATCTGCTGTGTAAAAACATGCTGGATAAGTTGCCGGTTCATTCCGCTGTGGCGACCCCGGATTAACAAAGGGACTAAGCTGAAAAGAAATTGAATGAAAATAAAATGTTTTTAAGAATGTAATCTCTGTATTAAAATGATTTGTGAAGGACAATTTTCCACCAAATTCAAGTGGTGTAATGGATCACAAATCTCACGGTTCAGATAACATTATGGGTTTTTTTTTTTGGTCACAATTTAGACCATTTTTCCGATCAGCCAAAAAGAAGAGACATGTAATTTGCTTTCCATTTATTACAAAAACAGCACTGCAAGAAACCCTTGGTTTAAACAAACAGAACTTACAACCTGTAATAATAAAAAATATAATGTCGAAATAATCAGCTGAATAAAAATAAATTGTAAAATATTCAGTGCTGTGAAAAATTCACTGTTACTACTGTTGCTGATGACACTAAATGTAGAAATCTAACAAAATGTGTACAATAATTTTGTACAATTAATAACAATAAATACAAACATTTTCTTTTGTGCCAGTATTTCTGTGTTATTTGACTGTTTTTTTTTTTTTTTTTTTGCATTTTTCAAACACAGATTGGAAGGATTAATAAAATTATGCAAATCAACATTTATAATTTATGTTGTGTGGATGTTGAGATCCCCAACTTTTAATGATTAATCGTGTGGCTTACAATGAATGCATAAATGCAGGCTAAACAAGTAATCACAGAAAACACCTTTAATAACCCAAGAAACCCACCACATCTCGAATAACCTACCCCAACTTCTTCCATCATCATTATATTTTACAGAAAAGCCTACATGCTTTTATACATGTGATTTGAATGACGCGGGAGGCGATCTCTCTATGATCGTTAGAAATTTAAGATTAATCTACAAGTAAAAAATAAATGTATTAATTTGCGGGTTAAGTGTGTTCCGAACAGCCAGTTGTGATCCGTATGAATCATGGATCAACTGTGATCAGTTACAACTCTTCCACTAAACTACAACCCTTGACTAAAGTACAGGTGATTATAATACAGCTTTAAATCACAGGAATGAATGACATTTTAAAATGTACACAAATAGAAAAAAATTATATTTCAGAAATATCTGACAATTTTTTTTAGGGTGGGGGAAAATAATCAGTACTTTTGTAAAAGTCATAAATAAAAACATTCACACTTTTACCTTTAAATATGTATTCTATATAATATGATTTCTCTTCAGCTCTCCATCAGTGAAGTGTTTCAGGAGGTCACGCTTGGTGTCACTGTGAACGAGGCTTTGCACAAGCACGTGTTTGGAAACATGGACTTCATGCTGCAGAGGGAGTATGGGAAGACCCGCGACAGCAGACAGGCCACATTCACACCATTATCCCTGTGAAGAAACAGCCTCAAAATAGAAATGGTTACAGGTTTGTGGAAGACTGTGACAAGAAGAAAAAAAAAGCCTTATGGTGCATCTCAATATTATATTATTCACACACTGTGTCAAAAAAGGCTGAAAGACCTCTAGCAGGTCACATCTTTTAATTAAAAGCACATTCTTATATGTGTGGAAAATATTTCTGAATCTTTCTAATTCAGACTTAATATGTGATTTCAGCAAATCCATACATGAAATACTGTAGTATTATTGTTGTCGTATTGTGATTTTAACCTCTTAAGGCATGGAAATCAAGAAACCGTACTGTAAACAAAAACAAACTGTTTATATGTTACTGCATGTTGTTTTAAAAAAAGAAGTAAATTATATTTGTCATATTTCGTTGTGTATAGTATAATTGTAGTTCCTTGTGAATATAGACAAGATACTAATTCAACAATGTGTGTTTTGTCAGTTATTTTTGGCATTTGTCATTCAACAAGAAACAAAAAAAATAGTATTGAAAGTAAATTTTTGGGCCATTAATACAAATATTACATTTAATATGTTTGAGGTGAAAATTATTCTCCCTCTGGCGAATTATTTTAAAAATGCAAAATATTTATTAATTTTCTGCATTATTTCCTATTAAAAAAATCTTCTGGTGAATGTCTTGTTTTATTTTGGCTAGAATAAAGCAAAATATATATTTTCTCTACAGAACAAACCATCATTGAGCTGTGGTCACGCTGCACTTTTTTCTTTATAGAATGCGTCGGACCGTAAACGCAAGCTTGTGCAAGTTCAAGCTTGTTGAACTCTGACCTGCGAAATTGCATCACATGATTGCTTGAGACCAATCGAAGATCAAAACATGACCTCTGGGCTGAAATTTAAATCATGGACCAGTCACTTGCCTTATTAAATGTCTAATCATCTTGTTCAATTCCACACCATTTCGCAGCACTGTACAGCAGAATTTTGCACGCGCAAACTGAAGTGTGACCACAGCAGTATGCAATGACTTGCCAAGTTATGCTAATTACCTAGTTAAGCCTTTTAGGCACTTAAGGCTGAATACTAGTATCTTGAAAATATCCAGTAAAATATAATGCACTGTCAAGATAAAAGAAATCAGTTATTAAAATTATTCTGTTTAGAAATGTGTTGAAAAATATTCTTCTCTCTGTTAAGTTCATTTATAAACTAATTTCGAGAGGATCACGTGCTTATGATTGATCATGGCTGGTCCCGCATTAGCTAACGCATGATTCACCAATCGGATGATTCCTAACTCACTATAAATGACCAGAGTTTTTACCTCAGTTATTTCCATCCTGAAGAATCCACCCTTCCACACCTATTCCTCCTCTCTATTTTTGCAGTTTCAGCAAAGCAGCCTGTGGTTAGCACTGTTGTCTCACAGCAAGAACTTCACTTGTTCAAGTCCTTACCATGCCAGTCAACGTTTCTTTGGGAAGATTACATTTTCTCCCCATGCTCAAGCGGGTTTTTCCTGATTTCCTCCCACACTCCAAAGACATGCGACATAGGTGAATTGAACAAACCAATTTGGCACCATAGATGAGCTCTTAATCATCAGTATATCTCTCCATACCAATCCCTAATTTGTCATTAGCCATAAATAAGCAGGGGAGTTCAAGACCTACCTGAGCTCTAACCCCCCTCTTGCCCTGCAAACAGTAGGGAGCCCTGGGTTCGAGGATCTTATGAGCTCAGGGCTCTATCCCAGGACAGTATGCCAAACACGCTCTATAATTAATTATCAGCTAAGTTTAAACTCTTGAAATAAGAGTCAGCTAATAAATCTGACTTCAACTGTATATTACTTTTATAATCTTAATGTTTTTAAGCAGATTGTACCATTGTAAACTTGCCTAGTCAGTTATTGCAGAAATGTATAATCCTTTAAAAATCTATTTAACACATGTAGCACATTAAACAAAAACAAAAATCGATCAACTGTTTTATTATAAGATGTTGTGAAACAGCATTACATAAGACTCCAAAGGTTGCAAACATTATCAACTGTTCCTTAAAGTCCATTTTCCTTTTCTGTTTTAGACACGCAAGCAGGACTTTTCACAGACTGGTCCATAGTTATCAAATGGATCATTATCATATTTAAAAAAGATGCAGCAACGGAAAACACAATTCCATAGGAATTTCTGCATACAGGTCTGTGACTTGGTCCCAAAGCGTCACCTGAGAGGCTCAGAACGGTGGCAGGATGGATAATTTTTTTAGACAGTCTTATGTTCTGAGATCAGACATTTTCTGAATGACTTGCTGCACAACATCCAAACCCTGAGCCCACCTCACCGTCTCCTCAAAGTGAACGTTGAGCGGGATACAGAACGCTTCCTTCCTCAGTTCTGTTAACTGACAAACTGCTACAACGCTTGATACTCCAATGACAACCAGGAGGACGAGTTTGAGGAGAAGAGAGAAGAACAGGGAGCAGATGGAGCGCTTGGCTTTGGGCACAGATTCTGGAGCTGCCTTTTTACCTGTAGTGAAGGAAGTGAAAAACTTTTACTCAAAACATTAACTATGAAACAAAATTTATATTAACATGACAATCTGACATATGCTACCATTTAAAAGGGGTCTTTCAGGTTTTTAAAAATATTCAACAAGGACTCTATAATTAAGTAAAAATAAAGTGACAGTAAAGAAATTTATGAATATGATCTGCACTCATAGGCCTGCCACAATAATCAATATGACGACACATCACCTATTAATTTAACCAATTCTAGCAACATTTAAGCTGATTTTGCAACATTTCTCTTGGAGGTGTCAGTGTCACTATGGTTAAAAACATGAATAGATCTGGTAGCAGATATCGCAGCATCAGTTACTTTTTTACTTTGCACTTTTTTTATTAACATGATTATTTATTTAGGATGTGCGTTTTTTACATTATGATTCTAACGCCAAACTATTCAGTTGTCAAAATTACTATAAATTTAATTTTGTTAAGAATAAAATATGATGTGTTCTTTGGAAGAGTGTACTTGCATTGTGATAATATTATATTGTCATTCTGACATTATGTAATGAGTGGCAAAAAAATGATCCTAAAATGACAATATTGTTTATCCCAATTGAATGTTCTTATTTTAACATTCAATTAGGAATCAACCACAAACAGTGTATAAACAGTGTTGTACTTCTTTTAAACTTGTAAATCGTTCAGATATACATTAATGAACTATTTTCATTGGCAAACAGATAAAAACGAATGCAAACTAAATATTAACTTCTTGTTTGTTGAACTTGTATTAAACTAAATTCACATTCAAGCTCAAATGCTTATGTACCTTGATTTTGTGCCGCTTTCTTTTTCTTCTCTTCTTTCTTCTTTTTCTGTTGTTCTTGAGCAGCAACTGCAGCGACCTGGGCTTGATACTCCTTTCTCTTCCTCTCTTTTTCTTCTGCTTTTTTCTTCTTCTGTGCTTCCTTTTCTCTGGCCTCCTTTTCTCTCTGCTTGGCTTCTTTTTTCTTTTCTTGTTCTTTAAGAGAATTAAACGGTAACCATTGTAAAACCCGAAACATATTTTACTATGCAAAATAAAATACCAAGAAATCCTCACAATTTGTTCTAAATGCAAAATGATGTATGCAAACAGAATTAGCTGTACAATGCAGAATATCATAGCATGACAAATATTGGATAAATAAATTAAAAGTGGTGATATACACCTGATCTAGTTGCTATGTGAACTATAAAAATGCTTAAGTGTGTAAATTTCAAAAGGTTGAATATTAAACTGAAAAAGATTTATGTTTACAGGTCTGTTAGTCTGTTGGAATGTTGCAGATTTGTTTAATACATAAATACTGAAGCACATGTGAAGCATTTGTCATTTTGAATGAGAATGTTTGAGGACATGAACACTTCGTCTCCACAGTTAGCATTTTTCTTCATCTTTAGAGTTAGCATTTTTTATACGACTATTGTCTTATGATGCACACAAAAATCCAAGCGTCTAAAGGTTTGTTTTGTCATGAAGAAACAGACAAAAATGTAATACTATTGTACCAAAAAACACACACGCTTCTCTAAACACTGTTTTAAGAAACAATTACAAATAATACTTTATTTTGACTGTAGCATAAATATAATGGAATTCGTGAGGGTTTCTAAAAGATTTAATAAAATTGCATTTGGGCCCTAATAAAGAGGGGAAAACTAAAAAAAATTTTCAAAACTAAGTTTTTGCACTCCATACCTCTCTCTTTCAGTAATCGACGTTCTAGTTCCTTTTCTGCTTCTTCCTGCAGTACCTTCATGTGCTGGAGAACCTGAACATAGACAAAAAACTTGTTCATTTGTGACTGTTGCATAACTTTGATTTCATAGTAAACTAGCTTAGTTTAACTGTACTGTAACAGCATTCACCCTGGATGCACACTGTCTGCACTGCTTCTCATCCAAGCAATCGCCTGCTGCCTTGGCCAGTGTTGGCTCCAAGGGGTTATCCTTCAGATCCAGCCATTTCAGACTCTACAACAAAGTCTTCAATTACCATCAATACAACAGCAATCAGCAAATTCTTTCAGAGCGTGTTTACAGACATGAGAATCCTGATCCTACCTTGAGCTGTGAGAAGCCGATAGGAAGCATTTTTAGTTTGTTGTTGTACAAATCAAGATGCTGGAGATTAACAAGTTGTCCGATTTCTTCTGGTAAGCAGACGAGCTGGTTCTTGTTCAGGTCAATTTTGATAAGGTGAGTCAAGCTACAGAATTCAGGCTGGTGAAGTAAGAAAAACAGTACAAAATCATTAAATACAGCTAATAGTAAACCAAACTAGGTTTTGCTTTTTTATTTGTAGTTACTTACAGTCAATGTAATTAAATTATTACAGGACAGATCCAAAAAGGTTGCCTTCGGAAAGGCGGCCTGCACAGAAATTGACATTGTAAGTTTCATGTTCTCTTTTGACATACTTAGCATATGAATAAATATACAGTAGTACTGTTACAGGTGCAGTAGGTGATTGTCTTAAGAAACATTTTTGTTGTGCTTGTTGAAAGTCTCTTCACATTCCAATAGTATATGTATTTTTATACTCTGGATAAGGCATAAGACTAAAAAATGTTCAATAACTAAAAATTTGTTGGGCCGACAATTCCCATAACTCTGATAAGTAAGTAGCTCAAACTGTCAGTCAATAAATGTCGATTTGTACATCTGCACAGCAGCCAGTGTCCTGGAAAATTTATCTCCAACTTGTTTCTACTCACCTGCCAGGAAGTTTCTAGTATATAGCAGGTTCAGGTGTGTTTAATTAGGGTTGGAGCTAAACTCTCCAGGACAGCGGCCCTCCAGGACTGAGTTTGGACACCCCTGGATAAGACACTAAACACTTGTCTAAACACTAGTCAGTTTTTCTAAACACTAGTCAGTTTTGAAATGTAATCTTTTTTTTCCTGTGTCTAATTTTATTTATTTTTTTAATCACCCAAAATACACTTTTAAGTCTTCCTTTTCACCCACTTTATCTATTTGTGTGTAGATTTTAATTGCAATATATATTTTAAATGCCTGCACTAATACACAAATCTCCACTTCAACAACACTTACTGTAAATGCATCAAACTTCACCTTTTTATTCATATTCCTTAGATTTTTACTAAAGAATGCTTAAACATAGTATGCCCGCGTATATACATATACACATTTTATTCTGTTAAAAAAAAATTATATATATATAAATTTGTTCAGTGATAACTTGTGACATGATCCCAATATTGTTTCCCATGGTACTTTAAATATTCAGTCTGAAAAAAACATGCAAGTATGACTTCAAAACAACATCAGTACAATTTATATGACTGTGAACATTGTTGTACTCTGATAGTCATTGGCTGCTCATATGATTTCATTATTTAGAATTTGCAAAGTATACTTTTCTGAAATTATATTATTAAGGAGAACGTCCGAATGTGTGAATATAAAACCAACTTTACCTCAATCAGATTCACAAGTTCTCTGAGTAAAAATTCAACAGACTCCAATGTGTATCAAAATAATAAGTAATAAAAAAACTCATCAAATGTTCACATATTTGAATATAACATGTTATCAAATTTGTAATACATCAGTTTTTTGCTATTCCTAATGTAATCAGTCAACTGGACCATTATGGTGATAACTGCGAGTCTTGCCTCATTGAGAAAACTAAGAACTTTCTTTAAACATGTGTAAGCAAAATAAAAAAAACAATCCTGATAACGATAAAGTGAACAAAAACTGTGGACACACACACAAACAAACACTCACCAACTCCTTGACTGGCACTTCTGTTAAATTGCTGAGACTCAAATCCAGCTCGTTGCCATCAATTTTGTCTTTAATGTTTTCAATTTTGCCTTTATTCATGTTGATAAGCTGTTCCTCACTGAACATGAAGTTAAAGAAAAGCGCATTATCAGTAAACAAATTTAACACATCATGATGAAAGCAAGTTTGCAGCTCTAACGTTACTGCTTGAATAAAGTATGTGAATATTCGTTGATAAAGTTGACTCAAAACCACAACACAAAGCGTTTATCTGACTAGCTGCTAAGAATAAAAGTTTGTTACCTTGTTACAGATGGTATGAAACAGTTGAGACCCACTGCAGAGCTGTACGTGTAACTGAATACAGTGAGTTCACAGATTTCGCATCGCAATGGATGAAAATCCACGTCATTGCTTGCGCGTGTGCTCAGAGACGCAGCTGACAGCGTGTCACTCTATGCGAGCGCCGCTCTTTGCGCCATCTGCCGGTCGGAGGTCTGCGCTGAACATTTTTTTATTATTTACTTGCCTTTCAAAATCCTAAAGATTTAAGCCAAACTCAGTTCCAGTGTAATTTTTCACAGACTGTCTGAGAAATGTCCAATAATCACTTCAATTCAATTCATCTTTATTTCTATAGCGCTTTTACCAGTGACTGGCTTTTACAATGTAGTTTGTGTCAAAGCAGCTTTACATAGAAGATTACAGTGAAATGAAACAGTGTCAGTCCAGTTCTCACAGTTTAAGTTCAGTTCAGATTAGTTCAGTTCAGTGTGGTTTAATATTCAATACTGAGAGTCTAAACACTGGAGAGCAAATCCATCGATAGGCTTCGCAGCTCTAAAAGTCCCAAATCATGCAAGCCAGAGGCGACAGCGGCACGGAAAAAAATGCACCAATTGGCTAAAGTGAAGAGAAACCAGGCTCAGTTAGGCACAACCATTTCTCCTATGGCCAAACACCTTGTGCAGAGCTGCAGTCTGGGTGCCGGAGGCAGGGGAACGCTGGACCTCAGCGAAGACTCTGCTGTCCCTGGAGTCTAACAGGAATCAGACGCATGCCTCTCCTCCATGATCACCACAGCAGCTGCTCAGGATACAGCCTGGTCCAGGATTGCAGAAGCCTTGGGATCATCTCTTCACAGGTCTTGGATCGCATCAGTGGCACTGCATAGTCTTTGGGGGCCTTGGGATGAGTATCCCCAGGTGGAAATGGAGATTATAGAGAATAATTAGCGTAGTTGCTGTTCATAGTGTATTTAAATGAGATGCAGAAACATGCGTGGAGCACATTTATGTAACATATTGCTCAGTGATGAACTGAGTGTATGCTTTACTAAAAAAGTATTTAATCTTGTTTTGAATTGGGAGAGTGTATTCGAGTCTCTGACCTTATCAGGAAGGCTATTCCAGAGTTTAGGATGAGAAGGCTCAACCTCCTTTACTCGACTTTGCTATTAGGTACTACCAAAAGCCCTGAGTTTTGAGATCTTAAAGAGCGGGTAGAATTGTGGCGGGTTGGATTGTAAAAGTCATCTTTTAAAATCAATACAAAACTAAAAGGCAGCCAGTGTAAGAAGGATAAAATTGGATATACAACGAATCAAATACTAAGCCATAAAATAAAATAAAAAAATCATAATGCATAAATTAACTTAACAAAAATAATCAACATACAGTGCGAAGCTTAACTTTATAACTTTATAAAAGGGTTAAATAAAACCCTATTCATTAAACAAATCATACAGTTTTTTAGCCTTCTCACAGTTAATTATTTTTAAAGTCTCTGTATAGGAGGCGAATTCCTTTTTTTAAAGACAAAATTTAGCATTTATGATTTATTCATTCATTTTCTTTTCGACTTAGTCCCTTAATCTGGGGTCGCCACAGCAGAATTAACTGACAACTTATCCAGTACATGTTTTACGCAGCCGATGCCCTTCCAGCCGCAACCCATCACTGGCAAACATCCATACTTTTACATTCATACACATGCACTACAGACAATTCAGCTTACCCAATTCACCTGTGCCACGTCTTTGGACTGTGGGGGAAACTCACACGAACACGGGGAGAACATACAAACTCTACATAGAAATGCCAACTGACCCAGCCGAGGCTCGAACCAGCAACCTTCCTGCTGTGAGGCAAAGGTGCTACCCACTGCGCCACCACGTTGCCATTTATGATTTATGAAAGTCAAAATTTTGCATTTATTATTTTTTTAATAAGTGCATGAATGACATATACAGAACAATGCCAGGGGTGTGCATAAAAAAAAAACTTAAGCATATTCTCTGCAATATAAATGTAGCTGTCTTTCCAAAAAAAGCACACATGGTATAAAGACACTTAACCAAATGAGACAATGAATCCAAATAATTATCCAATTAATGCACACCATAGTACACATTTTTTTTAAACCACTAAGAGTGTGCATTATTTGTACGGTGCGACAGCTTGAGTTTAGAACTTTTTAGAGTTTGTTTGATGAACATTACAGAAGGTGAAAAAAGTAAATCTAAACCTCCTTGATACGACTACATAAATACAGGACATGTTAGTGTTTCTTCCTTCGCTTTCTAAAGTCATATGTCACATAATGAACATTCATAGGCAAAGAAAGGTTTGTTTTAAAGCTCATTTATTCAACCTTTATGAAATTTCAGATTTTTATATATTTGTCTGTACAGTATATGCTAAATACATTAAATATTACAGTAAATAATACTGTACATAACATTGTAAATACACATGGTGAGAAGCAGTAGGGATTGGTTGCCACACTTTCCTTTTTTTAAATATTTTCTTGTTTTCGATTTAGCTATTGAGGCAGGTAAAATTGTATTTTTATTTTTATTCTTTTGGTAACATTATTTAATTTCATTTGTGGTTCAGTTAGGAGACATTTTGTTTATTATTTTCTGTGGGTCCTCTCAGAGGTATAGGGTTCGTTTTATTATTTTTTGAAAAAGAGAGATTAACAAACTAATATATTAATAAACAGCTTCACAAAAACACTTATATTTGCTCTGCTGTGCCTTTTATGTTGCTTCCTTGATGCTCAGGGTTGTAACCACATCCAAACATGTTCATAAAAACAAGCATATGATGAAATTACCTTAAATCTGAGAGAATCTGAAATACAGTTTATGCTGCAGCTCTTTCTAGTATAACAGTGCTTTCAACATGAACACAAAATGCCTGTAATATTGTTATGTAGCTAATGTAACATATGGGATATTACATCACTCAAATTCCCACTCTTGAATGATGATATAGAGAAACACAGAAACAGAGATGAGATAAACCACAAAGAAACCCCTGTTAAACCATGTGACCAGTCTTAACCAGTGATTCTGTTCAGTTTTGCCCTCTAAAGAATGGGGGACAAGAGAATGTTTGATAGTCTGAAGCTCTTCCAAGATCCGCTGCAATAGGTGCAACTCATTCACCTTTTCTTTAAGCATTTCCTGAGACTCCACTTTACTGCAAAAGATGCCATCGTTGATGTCTCCTTTGCATATAGCTAAAAAAAAAAGATTTATATATATATATATATATATATGTATATATATATATTGTATGACTGTAAAGATAGTAAAAAAAGTTTTGAATTCCAAGATATAATAAAAACAAATAAAAATATAATAAAATAATAATATAATATAACCAAACTAGGTTATAACTAATATGACCAAAGGCACCTCTCTAACGAAGATATGTACCCAATTTGAAATTGTTATCACAAAAATTGAGGTTTGTATGAATTTTTGTTTAGCCATCAAGTGACACTCAAATCAGTGTCATTTCACTTGACAATTTGTCATTTGTCAGTCTTAAAAAATATATATTTGATAACAAAATATTATAGTTTATTTTGTAATATGAAACTTGACACTGCCCTATAGGGGGAGGATATTGTTTAATATTTTAAAATACTGTTTCCATGGTACCACAATGTCCAATTTCAAAACAGTTTTCTCAGGATGAATTTAGAATTCAAATAATATCTAATTTAGCATGATTACTAACATACGTAATAAGAAAAAAAAGTGTCCTGCTAGCGAGTTGCTAACAGCTAAAACAGCTAATGCTCTGACAAATGTGCTTACCTGTTTCAGAGTTGTGATCTTCAGGACTCTGAACCGCCTTAGTGTCTTGTTCAGAGATCAAATGTAATAAATATACCTCCAAAATTGTCTCAAGAAGACTCAACAACATGAAGCAGAAGATGGAAATGACATACGCAGCTGCACAGAGCAAAAAAAAGATAAGTTTACTTGAACATATAAAGACAACTTATCAACCAAGACCCTGAGTTCTTACCTATCAGAGGGCATTAGTGGGATTTGGAGGGCAGGATGTCATTAAGAACGAGCAAAAGTACAGACATCGCTAACAGCACGGTCACTTTGAAGGACAGCTTTTCCGGTCTATCTGGTATGAAAAATGAAGCCAGGTCCAAAATGAGGAAAATCAATACGGGCAGCTGGAAATTGATGAAGTGCATGAGAGGCATCCGTCTGATTGAAATCTTAAAAGGACAGACAAATACATTAAGTGAAACATAAGGCTGTACCACTTATAAGAAATATGACAAACAAATACTGAATTTTCATGATGAGCTATTTAAAGGTCCATTTGTACTAAGAATGATTGTTAAAATAAGAGAAGTGATGGCTATATTAGCATTAACACCAATGTGAACAAGGTTCTATGTTTTATAAGCATGTTTTGACTTCTGTTGCTTCAAATCCTTAAATAGAAATGATAATTTGCTCACCCTTAACTGATTCCAATAGTTTTAAGAATATCGACAATCACTGAAAAAACAATGGAAGTTAATGACTTTTAACATTCTCTCAAAAATGTAATAGGTTTTAAAAAGGTGGTTAAATAGAGTACATTTTCATTTTGTGGGGAAGCTCTTTAAAACAGGATGGATTCTGATTGGTGGTCAAATGTTAATAGCACTTATCATTTAATAAATGATTGCGATTACATCATTTCTCTGTGCCATTATAGTGCTATTATAGTTGTGGTGTGAACCAAAATGAACCCTGAGGTGAGTCTTTACCGTGTACTTTAATGTTTGAAATGACTGGCCCTCATAAAGCATGTTTTGGTTGGACACGGATATGTTGAGGAGCTCCCATTCTCCTTGTGTTAATAATAGGTCTCGAGCCATTTGTGTTGCTTTAGTTGAATTGGAGGCAGGAACCAGCTTAATTTCTTTATCTGTTGAACAAAAGAAAAGCGAATTAAGAGTGACAGTGAACAGATTTGTTTATTGGGTAACACTTTACAATAAGGTTCATTAGTTAATGCATTTACTAACATGAACTAATCGTGAACAACACTTGTACAGCATTT